AGGAGGCCAACGATGTCCATTCCCGACTTCATGAACATCCATGGCAACAAAACCGAATGCAGCAGCTCCCCGGGTTGATGAATCATCAGAGCGTGTCTTTGACATTCATCACATTTTAGAAAGAACTCCTTTACATCTTTTTCCATGTAGATCCAATAGTAACCGGTTCTAACTATTTTTCGGACCAACGATTCGGCGCCCGAGTGATTTTCACAGGTACCTTCGTGAATTTCCATCAAAACGTACTCAGTATCCCCGGCCCTAGACATGTTGCAAATGGTCCTGAGATATTCTACGTACTTATTCCTACAGTCCCAAGTTAGGCTCATTGAGTTAATCTCGGCGTGGCCTTCTTCCACCACCGATCTCATAAGATGTACGACTTTTCCCGAGTTGAACTCGTCGTCTTTGACCGACGAACACAAGTTAGCGAGGGCATCGACCTCACTATTTTGATCCCAAGGTACATGCTGCAGAGTCCATTCTTTGAATCGATGTAATGTTACCTGTAACTTGTCCAAGTATCTTTGCATTCGTTCATCTCTGACCTCGAATGTTCCATTTACTTGATTTACCACGAGGAGGGAGTCGCACTTGGCTTCGATCACCTTTGCCCCCAGGCTTTTGGCTCGTTTAAGGCCTGCAATCATGGCCTCATATTCGGCCTCATTGTTAGTCAATTTCAGAGTCTTAATAGATTGTCTAATTATATTACATGTTGGTGGCTTTAGTACGATGCCAAGTCCGGACCCTTTTGCGTTTGAGGCACCGTCCTTAAAGAGGGTCCAGATTCCCGAGGAAGTTCCTGAGTTAAACAATAGCTCTCTGTCGACCTCAAGTATTAGGGCCGGCGTAAAATCGGCCACAAAGTCTGCCAAGATTTGAGACTTGATGGAGGTCAGAGGTCGGTACTCAATATCATACCCACTTATTTCTACTGCCCACTTGGTCAACCGGCCCGAGAGTTCGGGCTTATTCATAACGTTTCTCAACGAGTAAGTAGTTACGACACATATGGGGTGACATTGGAAGTACAGTTTTAGCTTCCTAGAGGCGCTTAACCAAGCGAGCGCCAGTTTTTCTAGGTGAGGGTACCTAGTTTTGGCCTCACCTAAGGTTCTGCTAACATAGTAAATTGTAAATTGCGTACCTTGCTCTTCCCAAACTAGGACTCCACTTACTGCTATCTTCGAGACCGCTAAGTACAAGTACAATTATTCATCTGTTTTTGGTATGTGAAGTAGTGGTGGGCTCGATAAGTACCTCTTGAGTTCCTCCAAAGCTCGTTGGCATTCCAGGATCCATGAGAAGTTATTCTTCTTCTTCAATAGTGCAAAGAATAGATGACTCTTGTCGGATGACCTCAAAATAAATCGCCCCAGGGCGTCTATGCGCCCGGTTAACCTTTGAACGACCTTCACGTTGTCCACGACCATGATATCTTCGATGGCATTGATCTTATCGTTATTGATCTCGACTCCCCGATTGGATACCATAAATCCGACGAACTTACCCGACCCAACTCCAAACACACATTTTTTCGGGTTCAGCTTCATATTGTATCGCTTCAGTATGCTGAAGGTTTCATGCAAATGTTTTAAATGGTCCTCTGCTCGGAGGGACTTAACTAACATGTCTTCAGTGTAAACTTTCACTGATTATCTTATTTGTTCATCGAATATCCAATTTACAAGGCGTTGGTATGTGGCGCCGACATTTTTTAATCCAAACAACATTACGTTATAGCAGTATGTGTCATATGTAGTGATGAAGGAAGTTTTTTCCTGATCAACTGGGTCCATCCGTATTTGGTTGTACCCGAAATAGGCATCGAAAAAACTGAGGATCTCGTGTCCGGCCGTGAAATCGATCATACAGTCGATGTTAGGAAAATGAAATGAGTCTTTGGGACATGCTTTATTCAAATCTTTGTAGTCTACACACATTCTTAGTTTATTCTCTTTTTTAGGGACTACCACTAAGTTTGCTAACCAATCCGGGTATTTAACCTCCCGAATAGACCCTATTTTAAGAAGTTTAGATACCTCATCCTTGGTGAAAGCATGCTTAATCTCAGACTGGGTCTCCTCTTCTATTTGACCGGGTGAAACTTTGGGTCTAGGCTCATCTTATGAGTGGTTGTCTGCGGCGGGATCCCTATCATGTCAAGGTGAGACCAAGCGAAATAATCTTTGTTAATTATAAGAAATTGAATGAGTTTTTCCCTTAGCTCGGAGCTTAACCCGGTGCCCAGGTATACCTTTCGATCGGTCAAGTGTTCTCACAGTATGACTTGTTCCAACTCTTCGACCATTGATTTAGTGGCGTCGGAATCATTAGGGGCTATAAAAGATCTAGGAACCTCATAATCATCATCCTCGATTTCCCTTTTTTGTCCGAATCTGCCGAAGATGGTATCGGTGATTGCTATTTGGCCCCGTTTTTTACTATCTGGTTCGGATCCTTCAGTGTTGAGATTGCAGACGCCGGTATCACCTCCTCGACCGTGAACATTTATTTTGCAGCCAGTTGTTCACCGTAAACTATTTTGACTCCGCCAGGTGTTGGGAATTTCAGTGCCTGGTGCAATGTCGAGGGAACCTCCCTCATGTTGTAGATCCATAGCCTCCTGAATAAAGCGTTGTACCGCATGTCTCCTTTGATCACATAAAATTTAGTCTCCTAGATGGTTTCGACGGTATTTACCGGTAACATTATTTCGCCTTAGTGGTCTTACATACCATGTTGAATCCATTTAGAAATCGAACTGCAGGCATGATTTGATCTTGTAGACCGAGTTGTTCCACGACCCTTGATCGAATGATGTTGGTTGAACTACCTGGACCAATTAACACACGTTTAACCCAAATTTTATTTACAAGTGCAGATATTACCAGTGCATCATTGTGGGGCTGCACGATCCCTTTCGCATCCTCGTCGTTGAAAGATAAAGTTCCTTCTGGTATGTAGTCTCGAGTTCGTTTCTCCCTAGTGATAGATACTTTGGTGCATTTCAATGCCGGCCCTGTGGGATATCAACCCCACCGATGATCATGTTATTGACGTGTTGAGGTCCTTTTTGTTCTGCTTGTTTGTTAGAGTCCCTGTTTATGAAATAATTCCTGGCTCGGTCGCTCAAGAATTCTCGAAGGTGCCCATTATTGAATAGACGGGCTACTTCCTCTCTTAGATGCCAACAATCTTTCGTTCTATGACCATGAGTGCCATGATATTTGTACATCTGGTTACGATCCCCTCGGGTTGGATTGGACTATAGAGGCTGAGGCCATTTGGTATCTTTGATGCGCCCGATAGCTGATACAATGGAGGCATCATCGACATTAAAGTTGTATTCTGATAGCCTGGGTGCTTCATTAGGCCCAACAGACCTGTCGAAGGCATTTTTGGTCATGAGACCCCGGTTGCCTTGACCTCGGTCATTCCTCCTTTCGTTTCTCATGGAGTTTCGATCTCCATTATATGGTTGGTACCGATCCTTGTTTGGCCTCGAATCACGGTCAATGTCTCTCTTGACTCTGTCGAGGGTTCTGACGGGATAGACAGACCCCGAACGGGCCCTGAGTTGATCAACTTTGACCCTGATTTTCGATTGATACCGGTTATGCACATCGGCCCATGTAACGGCCAGGTATTCTATCAGGTACTGCTTCAGCTACTGTGAAGCCACCGAGCTTCGAATATTGAGTCCCTGAGTGAAAGCCTGGACAACCCAATCATCAGCGACCGGCGACAGATCCATTTGTTCCATTTGAAACCGGGACACAAATTCCCTGAGCATCTCGTTATCCCTCTGTTTGACTTTGAAAAGGTCTGATTTCCTAGTCTCGACCTTGATGGCACCAGCATGTGCTTTTATGAAAGAGTCTGCAAGCATAGCAAATGAGTCAATAGAATTAGGAGGTAAATTGTGATACCATAGCATAGCTCCCTTTGACAGGGTCTTCCCAAATATTTTCAGCAGAACAGACTCGATCTCGTCGTCCTCCAATTCATTCCCTTTGATGGCACATGTATAAGAGGTCACATGCTCGTTTGGGTCAGTCGTTCCTTTATACTTAGGTATTTCGGTCATACAAAATTTTTTGGGAATCGGCTTCGGAGTCGCGCTCGGAGGAAAAAGTTTTTGCACAAACTTCCTGGAATCCAGTCCTTTCAATATGGGAGGTGCTCCTAGGATTTGGTCTACACTGGAGTTGTAGGGCTCCACCTTTTTGTCGTTAACTTCGATTTTCTTATCCCCTGATTCTATCTTCTTTGTCAGCTCCTTGAGCATCTTTATAATATCGGGGTTAGCCTCTAATTCATGTTCATTCGACCTTTCTATGACCGGTTCATCCCTGCGGGTGACTTCTCGAGGCGGATCGGGCTCAACCTTGCTCGGTGTACGGCTTTGGTTCTGTAATTGAGCTATTGCCGCTTGTTGAGCCTGCAGCATTACGAAGATCAAACGTAGACTAATCCCGTCTCCTTCAACGTTTTGTGTGTTTCGAGTTGCCGACCGGGCTCCACCACGAATGCTATTTTCGGGGTCGGTAGGCAAGTTTGCATCGATAGCCACATGTGAATTAGCGTCAATCGAGTCTACAATCGGAACTCCAATGGGATCAGCAAGTGGTACCTCGTTTACGGACGCTATGTTGTTATTTTTACCTTGATGATCAGACTCGTTGTTAACATGCAGGGTGTTGATTGAGAGTTTGACATTTTGTATTCTAGCCTGGAATCAAAGACACTTCAAAGAGCAAGTGTAAAGTAGTGTGTGTTATGAAGATTCGTATCAAATAACCACTATTATCCCTACTCCCACGGTGGGTGCTAAACTGTTTACCCTCAAGATCGAATAACAATTGAATTTATACGTGATTTTAAGGATACGTAATCTAACTTGATACAAAATGAGAAATCAGATTAATATTGAAATAAACGATGATAAGGTAAATGCAAACCACACAAGTTGAACAATCTTAGCCTTGAAGGTTGATCACCTTTGAGTCAGAAATGCTTTAATAGATGCCACAACAGAATGATGAGATAATATGAACTAGAAATAACAGTATATTGCTTAGGGATGCGTGTTACAATAACATCCCCTTAATGAATTATCAGACCCCCTTTATATAGTAGAGGAGTCCAATTCTAGGTATATTTCTATATAAGGTAAAAATCTCTTGATTTGTTGATTACTGGTTCCTTGCTGATACGTACCGAGATTCTCGCCGTAATATCTGTACAGTCGCGGATATTTCGGTCTTCTATTACTTATCCTCGAGCTCATTCGAGTCTAAGGTCGACACCGAACTCAATTTTTCTCGAAGGCAGGTTTTCCGACCTCGGGTTCTAGCTCGGTGAGATTCGGGGTCGATCTTCAGTCCGTGGTCGCCATGTTCCAAACCTAATCTATCAAGTTGAAGTCGACCTCGACTTCGGCCGTATACATAATATTAAAAAGTGCATGTGTGAAAACAGCCAAAAAATTTAATTAAAGTGTAGCGGATAGAGTAGTATTTTTTGTATGAGTTGTCTCCTATCCTGCCTTCGTTCATGGTTATGTCACGCTGGCTCCAATCATCACCTCTAATTGCTGTTTTTAGCTTTCGTTTTCTGGATAGAGAATTCCTGGAATACTTTTCATCAAAAGCTAGTGTAACATCATCATAATTAGGAGGTGAATTAATTAGTTAGTAGGTGGAAGTTAAACTACGAGCTCAATTGACATAAACCTGAGAGTTGAGACCAACTTCTTCAAGAGCTAGATGGTCCAGTGTTTTGAACTTTCTTGAAAGTAACTAAGTGTCTAAATTATTTTGTAGGCCTAACCTACTATAGCCCACAAAAGAATCAAGCTGCTAGAATAATTTAATGCATAATTCAATTCTTTAAGCCTATAAAACGTACCAAGCATTTCTTTACTGCCAGGACAACACAAATTGAAACAATGGGTACCCTCAATCTCAACCCTGAACTTGATGACCAAATTTTCAACACCATAAACCCTTTAGATCCTGGAGAATTCAGAAAGCAAGGTCACATGATTGTGAACTTCCTTGCTGATTACTATCAAAACCTTGAAAAATATCCAGTTTGTAGCCAAGTCAATCCAGGCTATCTCCAAAAGCTTGTACCGAATTCTGCACCTGATAACCCTGAACCACTTGAAAAAATTCTTCAAGATGTCAAAAGAGATATCATTCCAGGGATAACTCACTGGCAAAGTCCTAATTTCTTTGCTTATTTTCCTTCTTCAGGAAGTACTGCTGGATTCCTAGGCGAAATGCTTAGTGTTGGATTTAATGTGGTAGGGTTCAATTGGATCTCATCCCCTGCTGCAACTGAACTTGAGAGCATTGTGATGGATTGGTTTGGGAAAATGTTAAATCTTCCCAATTCTTTCTTATTCTCTGGGGGTGGTGGGGGTGTACTACAGGGTACAACTTGTGAAGCCATGTTGTGCACTATAGTGGCAGCTAGAGATCAAATGCTGAGGAAAATTGGTAGAGAGAATTTTGGCAAGTTGGT